CACACCTGGGCGTGGTGAGGACGTAGGGATGCAACCTGGAGACGACCACCCCTCCCCGTGCCCACCCGGGGGCGGGTCGCGGCGTCTCACCTGGCCCAGGTGAGCGCCAGGTGAGCGCCAGGTGCGCCCGCAGGTTCCAACTACTACGTGCGCATCCTGAGCACCATCGACCGCGAGCTGCTGAAGCCCAACGCCTCGGTGGCGCTGCACAAGCACAGCAACGCCCTGGTGGACGTCCTGCCGCCCGAGGCCGACAGCAGCATCATGATGCTCACCTCAGGTGAGCGCACCTGGCCGCACCTGGGGGCCATGAAACCTCATTTTGGGGTGGAAAAACGGCGTTTGGGGTTCAAAAAATGGGGTTATGGGGTCTTCAGAAACCAACTGGGGTCGTCTTGGGTCGTGAGATGTTGAGTGGAGCCGTGCTGGGGTCAGCAGGTGTCACCTGGGCTCACCTGGACACACCTGGCCGCACCTGGGGGCCATGAAACCTAATTTCGGGGTGGAAAAACGGGGTTTGGGGTCCCAAAAATGGGGTTATGGGGTTGTCAGAGGTCAAGTTGGGTCATCTTGGTTCATGAGATGTGGAGTGGAGCCGTGCTGGGGTCAGCAGGTGTCACCTGGGCACACCTGGGCACACCTGGGATCCATAACACGTCATTTTGGGATGAAAAATGGCGTTTGGGGTCATCAAAAGTCAACCGGGGTCATCGAAAGTCAAGTGGGGTCATCTTGGGGTCAAGAGATGTTGAGTGGAGTCACGCTGGGGTCAGCAGGTGTCACCTGGGCACACCTGGGGGCCGTAAAATGTCATTTTGGGGTGAAAAAACGGGGTTTGAGGTCAGCAAAAGTCAACCGGAGTCATCTTGGGTCATGAGATGTTGGGTGGAGCCGTGCTGGGGTCAGCAGGTGTCACCTGGGCACACCTGGGCACACCTGGGTTTGGTCCCAGTCCATCCCAGTTGACCCCTTGCCCCCCAGACCAGAGGCCGGACGTGGTGGTCACTCCTTGGTCACTCCTTGGTCACTCCTTGGTCACTCCTCGGTCACCCTTTGGTGTCTCCAGTTGACCTTGGAGAAGTTCTGGTTGCCCCCAGTTTGTCCCAGTTGCCCCCAGTTGCCCCCAGTCCATCCCAGTTTGCCCCAGTCCATCCCAGTTGCCCCCCGTTCCCCCCCAAACCAGAAGCCGGACGTGGTGGTCACTCCTTGGTCACTCCTTGGTGTCTCCAGTCGACCTTGGAGACGTTCCAGTTGCCCCCAGTCCATCCCAAGGGGCACCCAGGAGACACTGGGGACAGCCAGGGGACACCCAGGGGACATCCTGGGGACATCATGGGGACATCAGGGACAGCCAGGGACACCCAAGGGACACCCAGGGGACATCAGGGACAGCTAGGGGACATCAGGGACAGCCAGGGACACCCAGGGGACATCCAGGGGACATCAGGGACAGCCAGGGACACCCAGGGGACATCCAGGGGACATCAGGGACAGCCAGGGGACATCAGGGACAGCCAGGGGACATTGGGGACCTCCCAGGGACCTTGGGGAACTCCAGGGACATTGGGGACATCATGGGGACATCCAGGGGACCTTCAGGGGACATCATGGGGACCTCGGGGACCTCATGGGGACCTTGGGGTCAGTCATGCAGGGGACATTGGGGACCTCCAGAGGCAGCCAGGGGACCTCGAGGACCTCAGGGACATCTAGGGGACATTATGGGGATATTGGGGACCTCCAGGGACATCCAGGGGACATCATGGGGACCTTGGGGACATCCAGGGGACCTCCAGGTCATCTTCAGGGGACCCCCAGGTCATTTTCAGGTGGCCTTGGGGCACCTCAGGTGACCTTGAGGACCCTCAGGTGACCTCCAGGTGACCTTGAGGACCCTGAGGTGGCCCTGGGGGCGCTGAGGTGGCCTTGGGTGACCCTGGGGACGCTGAGGTGACCTCCAGGCCACCTTGAGGACGCTGAGGTGACCCTGAGGTGGCCCTGGGGACGCTGAGGTGACCTCCAGGCCACCTTGAGGACGCTGAGGTGACCCTGAGGTGGCCCTGGGGACGCTGAGGTGACCTCCAGGCCACCTTGAGGACGCTGAGGTGACCCTGAGGTGGCCCTGGGGACGCTGAGGTGACCTCCAGGCCACCTTGAGGACGCTGAGGTGACCCTGAGGTGGCCCTGGGGACGCTGAGGTGAACAGCCAGGGGACACCCAGGGGACATCAGGGGCACCCAGGAGACACTGGGGACAGCCAGGGGACACCCAGGGGACATCCTGGGGACATCATGGGGACATCAGGGACAGCCAGGGACACCCAAGGGACACCCAGGGGACATCAGGGACAGCTAGGGGACATCAGGGACAGCCAGGGACACCCAGGGGACACAGGGGACATCCAGGGGACATCAGGGACAGCCAGGGACACCCAGGGGACATCCAGGGGACATCAGGGACAGCCAGGGGACATCAGGGACAGCCAGGGGACATTGGGGACCTCCCAGGGACCTTGGGGAACTCCAGGGACATTGGGGACATCATGGGGACATCCAGGGGACCTTCAGGGGACATCATGGGGACCTCGGGGACCTCATGGGGACCTTGGGGTCAGTCATGCAGGGGACATTGGGGACCTCCAGAGGCAGCCAGGGGACCTCGAGGACCTCAGGGACATCTAGGGGACATTATGGGGATATTGGGGACCTCCAGGGACATCCAGGGGACATCATGGGGACCTTGGGGACATCCAGGGGACCTCCAGGTCATCTTCAGGGGACCCCCAGGTCATTTTCAGGTGGCCTTGGGGCACCTCAGGTGACCTTGAGGACCCTCAGGTGACCTCCAGGTGACCTTGAGGACCCTGAGGTGGCCCTGGGGGCGCTGAGGTGGCCTTGGGTGACCCTGGGGACGCTGAGGTGACCTCCAGGCCACCTTGAGGACGCTGAGGTGACCCTGAGGTGGCCCTGGGGACGCTGAGGTGACCTCCAGGCCACCTTGAGGACGCTGAGGTGACCCTGAGGTGGCCCTGGGGACGCTGAGGTGACCTCCAGGTGGCCTCAGCCGCGCGCTGTCCCCTCCCGCAGATCGGCATTGACCCCCCGCGGGGGGTGCTCATGTACGGCCCCCCCGGCTGCGGCAAGACCATGCTGGCCAAGGCCGTGGCGCACCACACCACCGGTGAGCGCGGGACACCGGGGGCTTGGGGACATCTGGGGGGGGTTTGGGGACATCTGGGAGGGGTTTGGGGACACCACCGGTGAGCGCGGGACACCGGGGGCTTGGGGACACCGGGGGCTTGGGGACACCGGGGGGCTTGGGGACACCTGGGGGGCTTGGGGACACCTGGGTTTCTGGAGGTGTTCTGGGTTCCTGGTGCTCTCCATGGATTCCTGGTGGGATTTTGGGGATTTCTTGAGGTGTTTTGGGTTCCTGGTGGTCTCTGTGGATTCCCGGTGGGATTTTTGGGATTTCTGGAGGTGTTTTGGGTTCCTGGTGCTCTCCATGGCTTCCCGGTGGGATTTTGGGGACTTTTGGGATTTTGGAGGTCCCAATCCCGGATTTTTGGGTCTTTTGCAGCCGCCTTCATCCGCGTGGTGGGCTCGGAGTTCGTGCAGAAGTACCTGGGCGAGGGCCCGCGCATGGTGCGCGACGTCTTCCGCCTGGCCAAGGAGAACGCGCCCGCCATCATCTTCATCGACGAGATCGACGCCATCGCCACCAAGCGCTTCGACGCCCAGACCGGGGGTGAGGGGCTGGGACCCCCGAATTGGGGAGGGGTCCCCGTTGGGGTGGGGTTCGAGGAGTCCTGAGTGGAGTCCAGGGGGTCCTGGGTGGTTTTTGGGGGTGAGGAACCTTCTGGATGGAGGTCAGGAGAACCTCAAGGTGGGGTTTGAGGACTCCAGATTGGAAATTAGGGGTTGGGACCCCCAGATTGAGGAGGGGTCTCCACTGGGGTGGGGTTTGGGGGGTCCTGGGTGGAGCTTTGGGGGTCCTGGGCAGATTTCAGGTGGGTTTTGGGGCTGAGGAACCTTCTGGAGAACCTCAGGGTGAGGACCAGGGTGGGATTTGGGGACCCTTTGGGTGGTCTTGGGGTGTGGTGAGGGGTTGGGACCCCGAATTGGGGAGGTGTCTCCATTGGGGTGGGGTTTGGGGGGTCCTTAGTGGAGTTTGGGGGGTCCTGGGTGGATTTGGGATGGGTTTTTGGGGTGAGGAACCTTCTGGAGAACCTTGGGATGAAACTCATCAACACCTGTGTGGAGTTTGGGGTTTTGGGTGGAATTTGGGGTCTCCTAGATGGAATTTTGGGATCACCTGGACAGGATTTGGGGTTTTGGGTGGGATTTGGGGGTGAGGAACCTTCTGGAGAACCTCAGGATGCAACTGAACAACACCTGGATGGAATTTGGGGTCACCTGGATGAAATTTGGGGTCACCTAGATGGGTTTCGGGGTCACGTGGGTGAAATTTAGGGTTTTGGGTGGAATTTGGGGTCACCTCCGTGGAATTTGGGGTTTTGGGTGGGTTTTGGGGCTGAGGAACCTTCTGGAGAACCTCGGGGTGAAACTCAGCAACACCTGGGTGGATTTTGGGGTCACCTGGACGTAATTTTGGGGTCAGCTGGAGGGAATTTGGGGTTTTGGGTGGGATTTGGGGTCTTGGGTGGAATCCCCAAATCCGTTGTCCCAAAATCGCCGTTTTTCGCCCCAAGCCGACCGCGAGGTCCAGCGGATCCTCCTGGAGCTGCTCAACCAGATGGACGGCTTCGACCAGAACGTCAACGTCAAGGTGAGCCCGGCTGTCCCCAGGTGTGACCCAGGTGTCCCCAGGTGTGACCCAGGTGTCCCCAGGTGTGACATGAGTGTCCCCAGGTGTCCCCAGGTGTGAGCCAGGTGTGACCCAGGTGTCCCCAGATGTCCCCAGGTGTGCCCAGGTGTGACCAGGTGTGACCCAGGTGTCCCCAGCTGTCCCCAAGGTGTCCCCAGGTGTGTCCAGGTGTCCCCAGCTCTCCCCAGCTGTCCCCAGCTGTCCCCAGGTGTGCCCAGGTGCCCAAGGTGTGACCAGGTGTGACCCAGGTGTCCCCAGATGTGCCCAGGTGTGACCCGGGTGTCCCCAGGTGTGCCCAGGTGTCCCCAGGTGTGTCCCCAGGTGTGCCGAGGTATCCCCAGCTGTCCCCAGGTGTGACCCAGGTGTCCTCAGGTGTGCCCCAGCTGTGACCCAGGTGTGACCTGAATGTCCCCAGGTGTCCCCAGGTATCTCCAGGTGACCACGGCCACCAACCCTGGGGACATCTGGTCCAGAATTCTGAGGGTTCTCGTGGTCCTCGAGGGTCTCAGGTGTGCCCTGACCCCTCACCTGTGTCCAGGTGATCGTGGCCACCAACCTGGGCACACCTGGGCACACCTGGATCGGGATTTCCAGGGGGTTTTTTGGGTTTTATGGGGTTTATTGGGTTTTTGTGGGGTTTTTTGTGTAGTGTGGGGTTTTGGGACCTCACCTGTCCCCACGCGTGTCCTCACGTGTCACCTGTGCCCAGGTGATCATGGCCACCAACCTGGGCACACCTGGGCACACCTGGGCACAGCTGGCTCAGGATTTTTAGGGATTTTATGGGATTTCATGGGATTTTATGAGGTTTTGGGACCTCACCTGTGCCCACGCGTGTCCTCACGTGTCACCTGCGCAGGTGATCATGGCCACGAACCGCGCGGACACCTGGGCACACCTGGGCACACCTGGGCACACCTGGATCGGGATTTCCAGGGGTTTTAGGGGATTTTATTGGTTTTTTGGGGGTTTTATTGGGGTTTTTTGGGGTTTTGGGGGTGGGTTTTTAGGGTTTTGTGGGGTTTTGGGGATCTCAGGTGTGCCCTGACCCCTCACCTGTGCGCAGGTGATCATGGCCACGAACCGTGCGGACACCTGGGCACACCTGGGCACACCTGGCTCAGGAATTATGGGATTTTTTGGGGGGTTTTATTGGGTTTTTTGGTGAGGTTTTGTGGGGTTTTGGGGATCTCAGGTGTGCCCTGACCCCTCACCTGCACCCAGGTGATCATGGCCACGAACCGCGCGGACACCTGGGCACACCTGGGCACACCTGGATCGGGATTTCCAGGGATTTTTTTGGGTTTTTTGGGGTTTTTGGGGCGTTTTCTGGGGTTTTGGAATCTCACCTGTCCCCACGCGTGTCCCCACGTGTCACCTGCGCAGGTGATCATGGCCACGAACCGCGCGGACACGCTGGACCCGGCGCTGCTGCGGCCGGGCCGCCTGGACCGCAAGATCGAGTTCCCGCTGCCCGACCGGCGCCAGAAGCGCCTCATCTTCTCCACCATCACCGGCAAGATGAACCTGTCCGAGGAGGTGGACCTGGAGGACTGTATCCACCTGGGGGCACACCTGGGCATGGCTGGGGGCACCTGGGGCACCTGGGCACGCACCTGGGGGGGTTACAAACACACCTGTCCGAGGAGGTGGACCTGGAGGACTGTATCCCCACCTGGGCACACCTGGGCACACCTGGGCACACCTGGATCGGGATTTCCAGGGGGTTTTTTGGGTTTTATGGGGTTTATTGGGTTTTTGTGGGGTTTTTTGTGTAGTGTGGGGTTTTGGGACCTCACCTGTCCCCACGCGTGTCCTCACGTGTCACCTGTGCCCAGGTGATCATGGCCACCAACCTGGGCACACCTGGGCACACCTGGGCACACACCTGGGGGGTTAGGAACACACCTGGGCACACCTGGGGGCACCTGAGGGGGGTTAGAAACACACCTGGGCACACACCTGTCCAAGGAGGTGGACCTGGAGGACTGTATCCACACCTGGGCACACCTGGGCACGGCTGGGGCACCTGGGCACACACCTGGGCACACCTGGGGGGGGGTTAGGAACACACCTGGGGGGTTAGGAACACACCTGGG